CAACTATTTTTCAATAACCTTGGAAGAAGGAAACTTACTGTCATATCCACACAAAAACAAACTTCTCAAACATCTATGTACACAATACTAGGAAACGGTTTTTATAGTTTAGATGAATAAACCACAAAAAAGCACTTAATAATTATGTGATAAAATTGAGATCTCTCAAAGAAACAGCTTTCATAGAAGATGAGATAAACAGTAAGTTGGATTTGATCAGGATTTAAGATTTAAAAAAATATATATTAGTCATTAAGCTTAGCTAGGCAAAGACAGCAAGTTGGTTCCTATGTCCCTGGGGCTCCCAAAACACATCATGCATCTGTTACTGCATTTAACACACTGTGCAGTAGTTTGTCATGCCCACTTAAATTCCTTCAGGACAGAGACCTTTAATACATTTTTCTATTCCTAATTCCTAGCAAAATGATCTGGCACACAGAAAATGATTAATTTTTTTGAAAGGAAAGACATGGTTTCCTATTTAAATTACTGTGTTTTTATCACTTTTTTACGGGTCATTTTATTCTTTGTCTCAATTCCAAAACCGCCTTCCTAAACTCTGGCCTACACTAATAAAGCGATATTATTCACCCATATTTTATGGCTCTTGCCAGTAATGTTTCTGTTAGGTTTCGCCAACAGAGATAGTGAAATAGATTGGAAGACAGGACAAAGGGCTTGCTTTAGGTTCCTGGTAAGTAAAAATTGCAGTCAATTCCTGGTCCTGGGTGGCAGTAGCCTCCTGCTGCTTTTGGTACTTCCAGAACTAACCATCACATGTGTTCCTATATACTAACAGCTGACCTACACGAAATCTAATAGAACCCTTCCCTGAACTCTTAAGGTTCTAACAATCAAAATGTTAACGTTCCCTTTTAAAAGCTTTTACACTCACCTAACCAACTCCCTAATATTAAATCCTTTTTGTCATCCTTATTAAAGTTTTTGTTTTCTCTACTGGACCCTAATACACTGCTAGATACAAATGCACTCTTTTAAGATATCTTGCTGCTTCAATAAACTTGAGGTTCTCTTATAAAATTCATTTTATAAAGGTGTAACTTGAAACCTAGATTTGCTTCAGTTAAGTTGAAGCATAAAACCTACTGAACTTTTTGTGATCTAAGCTATCCAGTTTTGGAAAAAAGAAAAAAATGGTACGACAGATAGTACAGGCTAGTCCAAACATATCCACTCACCTCTTTTTACAACAGCACACAATCTAAAGATAAAATGGCATGGTAGATTTGATCTAGTCCCCAGTTTTCAGTCCCCATGTGTGGTATTCAATCGCTAAATGTGAATTTTTGTTGTTGTTGTTGCTATTATTCAACATTGTCCCTAAATGCCCCTATTTCATCTACGTGTTCAAAGACAGAAAGAGCAATCTCAATAAAGTATACCTGAACTTACTGATGTTCTTCTATCTTCCTAAACTATTGTCAAGCTGATTTTCCCCCCAGTTCTACATGCTAAGCACACTCTCCACTGCTCAGCTACACCAGCAGCTACAGATTACCATTTTTTTCCACATTTTACACACTTTCAATTCTAGTAACTTCTTCATAAAATACAACTCTTCTGGGCCAGGCCCAGTGGCTTATGCCTTTAATCCCAGCACTTAGAAGGCAGAGACAGGAGGATCTCTGTGGATTCCAGGAAAGTAGAACTACATATGAGAATGTTTAAACAACAACACCCAAAAAACACCACTCTATGACATAGAAAAAGGAAATCTCCTTCCAAGAGAGACCATAAGCAACATATCCGTTGCAAGCAAATGACAGAAACGCTTACAATTTTTTGAATCAGCCTGTTACTTTACTTGATAACATACCCTCATTAGACAATGTAGAAGCAAACATGTTGCTAATTCAACCTCAAAATGAGAAGGCACTAGAAATCTTTCTTGAACTTTTGGTAGAATAGCTGCTCAGCATCCAACAGGACAGACTACTATACTCCTCACACTCGTCCACTTCAAGCGCCAACACCCAAAAAGCTTAAAAAAAAAAAACTGAGTAGTTTTCTCCACACAGAATAAAACAGTGGTAATGGGCTATCTTTTTAGCATCTAGAGTAGGGACTCATTATCTAACTAGCTCTTGCCTATAAACAACACTAGTTTCTAATTAAATGCAATGGATCTTATTACAAATTCAAAATATCTATGTGAAATCAACCAAATTGTACACCCCTCCCCCATCCACACATAGGAAATACCAAAAGAACTTGCAGACATACTAGGTACAAAGGATAAAGACTAGAAGGGAACAGATAAGATAATCTAGACCTCCAAGTGTCCAATTACATGATGCTGTCTTCCACAAATGTCTGTGCTCTACTGCACTCTCAGCTACCCAAGAACCTATGAGGCCTGGGGAGCAGGCTGGGCATGCCTGAATACCAGACCTTTAGAAAATACTACCTCTGTACCCATACTATACCTACTCAATGGAACACAAGTTCCTACAAGCTACTAAAATTTGAGACAAATGAAAGAAATCAAGCAACAGCTATCAGATGTTATGTTTTACAATAAGCGAAACTAATTTAAAAATCAGTGGCCGATTTGTATGTCTGCAGAGTATGTTTTCTTTAGACTGCAAACTGAGGTTGAGGATATAACTCAGTGGTAGAGTCGGGGGTGAGGAAAGAGTATGTTGAGGGCCCCAAAAAGCATTGTGCTGGGGTCATAGTGGCTCATACCTGTAATCCTATCCCACCAGGAATGCAAGGACAGTTTAGCTTATGGAAATCCTACCTCCAAAAACAAAATACCTGCAAACTATGATATATTTTTCATTTCTCCAGAATTCAATGGATGAGTCATTTTAGAACTATGAAGTCCTTTTTTAAGTCATTCTAGAAACACTGCCATAATTTTAATAAAATAATTTTATTAAATTTACATAATTTTCACATAATTATGTGAGTTCACATAATTTTAATGTGAACTCATTTTTTTTGCTAGAAGGAATGATGCTTCTTTTGCTAATGTACAAAAATGAAACTGTCACTGAAACGTGGTTATACATCATTCAACAGGTATATATCACCTTCATTCCAAAAAACTGCATAATATAAACATAAATCATGAGTAAATCAGATTAGAGAGAGAGCAGCTATCAGAAACTTTAAGTCAGTGAAGTTTCAAATAACTTATTTGCTGGCCTGGTCTGTATTTCTAAAGCCCACCTAAACCTGGGCACGAGCTGTCTTGAATGCTCCACACAGAGAAAAACAATTTCCCATATTTAAATCTCTGCACTGTCTATACGATGTTCCTTGTTCTAATTTGAAATTTTCTGTGCAGCACATCTGAGGACCATTATCTTATTTTCAAAATGCTCAGACTAGTCCCACTCTGGCAATTTTCCTCCATAAATTCTCTTTTTGGACTTTTTTGTTTTGTTTCAAGATAGAGTCCCACGCTGGCCTCCTCAATATGTAGTCCGGGATGACCCTACGCGGATCACCCTGCCTCCACTCCTAAGGGCTACGTTACAGCTGTGTCTAAAGTCTCCGTTTTATGACCAATCTCAAATGTGCATTTTACATAAGTAACTAAGAAATAAAGTACTTGAAGAAAGTGAAGAGCCATACATACATGCTGTGGAAACCCTGGAAAATGGAGTGTTCTATAGCTTCTCATTATTTTACTAAAAAGTAGGTTAGGTGTACTGATAATCGAGATACCTGTTGATGGTGATAAGCAGAAACTCCGGGGGTGAGGGTGGGGGTGACTAGCCAGGAGTAACGTTACCGCCGTTTAAGTTCTTTAGAATCAAAGGATCAAATTTCACTTAGAGGATGTAAACCCGTGGCGGTGCAGAACTCCCATAATCTCAATACTCAGAAGCTGAGGCAGAATAGCAGTAAAGGGAGTTCGAGGCCAGCCTGCCTGGACTCTACAGAATGGATCACCGGCTCAAAATCAAACAAAAAAATCAACCCAAGATCGAACACCGACCTAAATTATTAAAACATTCACCAATGACAAATGACTAAGAACACTATCTACCAATTCCACTAAGTATTCCAGTTGATCATCTCAGAATTATCAAATATTATGTAATGCAAAACGCTCACGGTATATTTAAATACAACGCTCAATTTAAAGCACCGGAACTCAATTTTGTTTTTGAAATGCCTAAAAATGCTTAATGCACATCTAAAATTTTTCCCACCACGCGAATCCTGGGGCAGCCTCCTAAAAGATCCAAGGGGCTTCAAGGGCACGAAGCCGCAATCAGTCTTAGTGGGCAAACAAGCAAAAACGAACCTCAAAGTTTGCAAGACCGATCTTTCCTAAGAGGATCTCTCCAAGTAGGGAGGCGACTTCTGGGGGTGGGAAACGAACCTCACCACCAGAACCCGGGATCCCAGCCGACAGGAACCAAGAACCTCGACAGAAAGCCCCGGGTTCAAAACGCGAAGCTTCCATCAAAAAGAGACCGCCCCCTCCCCCACGCCGCCTCCGGGTGAGCTCGCAACAGCAGGAACTGAAACTCCCGAGCGAGGATGAAGAGGGGGACGGCTCTCCAGGAATGTGAGGCCCGGAGGGGTCCGCCGCGGGCCCACCAGCCGGGACGCCCCGGGGAAGCGGGCTGTCGGGGGCCCAGCGCGCCTCGCCGCCCCGCCCCCACGGCGGGGAAGCCCGGGGGAGAGCTGGCTTTCCAGTCAGGACCCGCCCGGGAGGTCGGGGCCGCCAGGCAGGCGAGGGCGGCGAGGCTGCGCTGCCCCGGGAAGGGCGCCGACGCTGGGCCGGCCGGGTCCCCGCGAGCCCGGGTCAGCCCCTTCCCCAAAAGCCCCGAACAATGAGCAGCCGCCTCCGCAGCCATCCCCGCCGGGGCGCAAGCGGCAGAGCGAGCAGCGCCATCGCCTCACGGCTGCTCTCGGCCCCTCACGGCCCACCCGCGGACACACACACACACACCGGCCCCGCAGCCGCCCGGTCCGCCTCCCAGCGCCCCCGCCCCGCTCGCCCGGCTCACCGGCTCCTGCCTCAGCCCAGAGCTCGCTGGCCGTGGCCGGAGCGAGACTCGGGGATCAACCGCCGCGACCGCCGGCGCCGCCGCACAATATGGCGAGCCTAGGCTTCCGCAATGGAGCTCGGGAAATAAAACAGGAGCCGCTCAATATTCATGAGAGACTGAGGGGAAGCCGGCTCGGTCGGAGCTGCGGGAAGGGCGGGAAGGAGCGAGCGAGCGACCTAGCGAGCGAGGAGTAGGCGGAGGCGCGGGACGCGGACGTGCACCGCGCGAGGAGGCCCCTGGCGTAGGGGAGGGGGCGCGCCGCGTGCTGGCTTGGGACGCCTGGCGCCGCCACGCCCTGGCCACGCCCACTGCGTGGTCACGCCCACCGCAGCCCCCGGGCGCCCCCAGGGCCGCCGCAGCCCCCAGGCAACGCCCGAGGACTAGGGCGCCACCTCTCTCGTGTTCTGTTCTGTGCTGCAGCTCTGTGCTTGCCTTAGCCCACCGTTTATGCCTTCAGGTTTAGACTTCACACTGACTTCGTCTCTTAAAACCATCCATCCCAGCACTGGAAGTCCGTATTAGTTTTCTACTCCGGAACTTCACCCTGACTTTGGCATACCAGCATCTCAGTCTAACACACACAACATCCTTGCTCAGTAAACCTGCAAGATCTAAGTGACCTTCAACTTTATTGCTGTGTTACTGGTCGTCTGTTAAGCTCGTTCTTACTGTTTCTCGTGCTGTTTTTCTACCTCCGTGGCCCTTACAACTGCTGTATTTTGAACTTGAGAGTATAACAAGTAATAGATAAGTAAGAATCCTTATCTAAAACAAAATCAATGGGCCTGCAAAAAGTTATTAAGTGCTCCCTGCATATAAATTTTGAACTGAAGAAGTAATAAACGAAAAAGTTCCCTAACTTCAGTGGTCATGTTCTCTTAAAAAGATATCCAACGTAATGAATGGGAAGACACTTGCAACATAAGAAAATGGACTGTACTGGGAATTGGGCAAGCTGCTTTATAGCCTCTATTAGCTGTGTGTGACCACAGTAGAATTCATAAATCCTCTGGACTTCATTTTCCTCATATGCAAAATGAAGCGATTTTTAAAAAATTATTTTAAGGTCCTTTGCAGCTCTAGAACTCTAAAACTATAATGGATTTCAAATAAATATATGAATTTACATGCCAATTTGGAAAAGAAACAATTCCAGCTGTGTTTAGAGATTTCTTCCATGTCTTGAGGAGCTAGAATTTGAGTTAGTCTTTGGCAGATACCTTGGACAGAGGAAAAGAAAGCAGACAGGTATTAAAATATAGAAGATGACATAGCATGTATGCCTTCTACAAGTTTCTGAAATCCATCAAAGTAAACAAGAGCCAGCATTATTCTTTTCCAGTAAAGACTTTCACTTTCGGTCCATAACTTAAATAAGCAATGCTAAATCTCTGACTTTAAAAAGCTCTTCAAGGTTAAACTCTTCCTCAGCTGTGAATAAAAACCAAAATAATTAGGAATGCTCTGCTCTTCCACTCTCTAGAGCCTGCAGTGGCAGAAGCATATAGTTCAATTAAAGACAAGATAGTCACAATTTTAGAACCCTTTGTTCTATTTCAAAGGCTTTTGGAAATCATGGTGTGGCTAGATTAAGCAATTCAACTGATGTTAATAAAAGTGATCATTTGTAGAAAGCACAGAAACTATGGATAAAGTTTAATATGGTACTTAGTCACAGAACCATATTAAAATTATTTTAAAGGAACAGAACTGACAAACTATACATATATATATATGGAATTTATGAGATTGGCTTACAGAATAGGGTAGTCCAACAATGGCTGTCTCACTGGAGAGACTGAGAATCCAGTAGTTGCTCAATTCACAAGGCTGGATGTCTCAGCAGTCCCAGTCTGGTGCTGAAGGTCTGGGGGATTCCTGGAGAGCTGCTGATCTACATAGGAAGCCCAAAGAAGTTGTTTTTAATATTGACAAAGCGATGCCACAGCAATAGGATAGTTTAACTCTCCAGCAAGAGTGAAGGCAGGCAGGCAATACAAATTTCCTTCTGAGTCCTTTTATCTGGATTGCCACCAGAAAGTGCTGCCCACATTTAAGGTGGGTCTTCTGACCTCAAATAATCTGATCAAGAAAATCCCTCACCGGAGTGCCCAGAGGCTTACGGTTTTAATTGATTCCAGATCCAGTCAAATTGACAACCAAGGTTAGCTGTCACAGATATTTAGATTAAATGTGATTTAAAAATCTAGACATGGGCTAACGTCCTTTAAAATGAAAGACATTGCTGATGAATTAATGCAACTTCTATTTTATCCAAAACTTGGCATCAAAACAAGTACTATGAATCTTCCCAGAGTGTATCAAACAAGACAGGTTATGTTCTGTCATAGAGTAACAAACATCTCCAAAATCTGCAGCTTTAACACAATGGAAGTTTACTGCCTGCTCATGTTTGGTACTTGGTGAGGATCAGGCATACTTTTCTCTCTAGGAACCAGATTGACGGAGACTCCGCCATAACTAGAATACAGAAATTCATTGCCAGTACCAAAGAAAGAAAGAGACTGAAGAATAACCATGAGCTTTTTACAGCCTAAACTTGGAAGGGACACAGATCCCCATGCACCTGTAAAGGAAGTGACTCCTTGAACTAAAATTAGGAGGAGAGTTTTGGTGAACAATAATGCCAGCCATCTTGACAACCCCCCCACCCACACACACAAGTTGGTTACTAGCTGTTATGAAAAACACTCCAAAATTTTTTATTTTATGACCTTGATTCAGGCAACTTCAGGAAAGTTATGCTTTCAAAAAATAAACTCTGTATGTGTTTACTGCCATTCAAAGCAGAATTTCCAATTTCCTTTATTTTGTTGTTTTTATTTGTTTGTTTGGGGGATTTAAGGGATGTTTAGCTAGTTTGGTTTTTCTTGTTCTGGTTTGTTTTGTTTTGTGTGAGACAGGGTCTTGCTATGTAGCCCTGGCCAGCCTCAAATTCATTGGCAATCTGTCTGCCTTTGCCTTAGTTCTAGGATCACAAGATGTGCCACCACACCTAACTCAAAGATTTGTCTTTTGATTTTGTTTTTCTTTAAATGAAGCCACTATGTAACCCAGGCTAGCTCAAACTCACAATTTTCTTGTCTCAGTTTCCCAAATACTGAGGTTTACAGACATGCATCAGGACACCTGGTTTGGGACTCCCCAGTCTATGATAATAACTTAGCATTTTTTAAATTTAACATCAAAGTATAGCCACATAAAACACTCTATTTTTCACTTTCAATACAGTATTCAATAAATTACATGAGATGCTCAATGCTTTATTATAAAATGGGCTACGTTCAACCCAGCATCGGGTTGTGTTCTGAGGGTAGTTAAGGAGACTAGGTTAAGATACCACATTCCAGACAGGTTGGTGGTGGACACCTTTAATCCCAGCACTTGGGAGGCAGAGGCAGGCAGATCTCTGTGAGATTGAGGCCAACCTTGTCTACATATTGAGTTCCAGGCTCTCTAGGGCTACAGAGAGACCCTGTCTCAAAAAAAAAAAAAAGTGGTATCAATATTTTAAGTAGAATATTAACACTACATATGTAAGTACAATAAGTGGATGGATGACTAAGTAAACTGTAGGTAAAGATTATTTTCCCTCAAGACTTTAGAAGTAGTACCAGCTTAATCATATTATGAGCTGAGTAGGATGAAGAAATAAATCTATCGCCTCTTTACTGGCTTTTTCCTATGGCTATACTACAAAGTTATATTAGTTTAGCTGAACTAAATTTTACTGAGCATGTAGTATGTGCCAACCACTTTAGTGTTCTGAATGCAAATATCAATGTGTTTGGGCTATAATATCCTTGAGAAAAAAATTTTTGCATACTTAGAAACTAATACTGTGCTTGGTACATAGTAGATGCTTGAGAAATATATGCTAAGATAATGAAAGAGTGGGATTCTTTGATCTTGGTGTATATACAAAACAGAATAGCCCACATGAGGTGGATTCGCCTCACTTATTACTAAGCAGCAGAAATTTCTTTCAAGATTGCCTGATATATACCCACCACATGGAGTTCTCTTCAGCCATACTCCAAGTGGCTTATTGTTAGCAGCTGGTATGAAGAAAAGACTGTAAGTCACCAGTGGCCAATTAATATTAAGCTATGTATGTGTCACAGTTGTAAACACAGTATGTTCATAGAATACTGGGAGGTCGTTGCTCCATTGAATCCAAAACAATCCTTCAAAGGATTTTTCCTTTTTCTTTTTTGACAGGGTCTCACCATATAGCTCAGGCCAGCCTCAAACTTATGGCAATCCTGCCTCAACCTCCCTGAGAGCTGAGATTATAGGCTTGAGCCACCATACATAACTTATTCCCTTTTTAAAAAATCACAGACTGTGATGTCTATGGTTCAGTAATGCTCACAAACATTGACTTTGGAATTGGCACTGCTGCTCAGCCCTGGGTCATTTGAGTCTGAGTACAGGATGCTTTTCATGATGCTAACCATGTCTTACCACTTGGAGCTGCACATCTACAACTGAGGTGCCCTTCTTCTCTGTAATATTTAAGTAAGCTATGAGACAAACATCTCCACAGCATCTTCTCAACATTATTGTTACTTTTGTTTGTTTGTTTCTGTTTTTTGAGCCAGAGCCTCCATGTAGCTCCAGCTGGCCTGGAACTTGCTATGTAGACCAGACTAGCCTCCATCTCACAGAAATCTGTCTACCTCTGCCTCCCAAGTACTAGGATCAAAGGTGTGCACACTACACACGGCTCAACATTAGTATTTATTTCAATCTTCACTGTGATCTATTTTGTGGTTTGTTATGTATTTTATTTTTTTAATATTTTATTTATTATTTTTATGTTATATGTGTGAATGTATTTTTAAAAAATGTGGGTAAGTGCACCCATGTCCTGCAATGCCTGAGGAGGACAGAAGAGGCCATCGGATCCCCTGGAACTGGGGTGCTGGGATTTGAACCCCGGTCTTCTGCAAGAACAGCCAGTGTTCTTAACCACTGAGCCATCTCTCCAGCCCTATTTATTTATTTATTTATTTATTTATTTATTTATTTGTGTTTGTGTTTTGTATGCATGGGTGTGTGGTGCTCTTGCCCATGCATACATGCATGTGTGGAGGTCAGAAGTCAACTCTGGGTATCTTCCTTTATTACTGTCCACCTTACTTTTGAGAGAGTCTTTCACTGAACCTGGCCCTCACCATTTTAGCTAGGCTGGCTAGCCAGCAAGGCCTGAGGATACTCCTGTCTTCACCTTACCCACCCCATCCCTGGAGTTACAGATCAGAGTTAC